TATATATATATATATATATATATATATATATATATATATATATATATGTGTGTGTGTTTATGTACACGTGGACACATATTCTTATGTACACACACAATACATACACATATATACATACATATTTATACATACATATATTTCTTAAATACATTTTGCTTTTTTTGGTTTTAAAGGAAATTAAGTTTTGAAAGGAATTAGATTTTCTTCTATCATCATTGAGCAAAATTCATTAATGTCTTACAAATATGATGAGAGATATACTTTATATGTATGTTAGAACTTATAAATTATTGATTTACTTGATGAAATCTTATTTGAACTTTAGCATGGTCAATTTTCTCATTAATATGCTAGTATAATAATAAGCTAATATTAGTAAATTTTGGTAAATATTTCATTAATTTTGTAAATATTCACATTAAGTCTAGATTTTAGATAATGCAAACAGTGTTATCCCACTTATTTCTATATAGATCAGTAGCCCATTTCAGTTACTAAAAATAAAAGAAAATAGATCTTTAAAATACTTTATGAAAGATCTTACCACTTTTCAAGTGAGTCTGTTAAGTTCTGAGTGACTTCTTTTTTAATTTTTAATTGTATATGTAATGTTAAGTTTCTTTGAATTATGAGCCATTTGGAAAAATCTACACTAGCATTTTAAAAAGCTTTGCCATAAATAAATGATATTTCCTTGAAAATTCCTTCAATGTTGAATTTGAAGGTGGTTTCAGACTTTTCTACTAGTGGTAAATGTCAGTTAAGATGCTGCCTGACTTTTAATGTATATTTCTAATACTTTCATCCAGGTACATCTGTATTTAAGATAAGTCCTAAGTAAAATACTGAAAATGTATATAGAAGTATTCTTCCTTATTGACTTAATCGCATCAAGATTCATAAATTTACATTTAGATACTTTAGGCAAATTTTGCATTTTTGCCTGTTTTATTATTTGGTTTAAAGTGGGAGTTATTAGTCTTTTTTTGTGTCGTGGTCTCCTTTAGCATTGTGATAAAGACTATGGAGCATGGACCCCTTCTCAGAATAATGTTTTTAAATGCATAAAATAAAATACATAGGATTACAGAGGTAACTAATTGTGTTATAATATACCTGTCAAAATAATAATTTCATAAAAGAACACAGATTTGAAGTTAATCCTGCTTGATTTAAAGTAAGAATTCTTCTCCTGGGTATTTTCCTGATTCAGATGAAATAACAGCCTTAAGATGGGAGAGAAAAATGAGTGAGAAAATGAATATCTTTCCTAAAATACCAATAAATTTATTAAACTCAAACACTAAAAATAATTATAATATAAAGGATAATATGATAAAAGTTTGGAGAGATATAAAAAAATACTATGAAATATCCAGTTGATATCAAGGAAAGCTTTATAAAAAGGAAGTTTATCTGATAGCCTTGGAGAATGAATGAGTTTCAAAAGATGAAATAGGTAGAATAACAAAACAAATATTAAATGTATAACAAAATATCACTTTAAGGTCTTGCAAAGCACTACACAAAAAGTCTGGAGTGTAGGTAATGCAAGCGATATTATTTCCATTTTACGGATTAAGCAACTGAGGCTCAGAAACATAAAGTAAGTTCCCCCTAGTCACACCACTAATAAATATCAGAATTGGGAGTTGAATTTGGATCTTTTGACTTCTGAAAACCGATACTTTTTTTCATCACACTGCTTCTTGAAGAGATTCATTTTGCTTCTGTCACCGTAAAACAGCATTTTGGAGATGTTAAAGAAAGAAAAGATGAAGTGAGGGAGGGAGAAGGAGATGGGAGAAAAAGAAAGAAGAGAGAGAGAAATAAAGATAGATTTACGAAGCACCTTCTATGTGGCAGGCACTGTGCTGAACACTTTTTACAGGTATCATTTGATCCTCACAATAATCCTGGAAGGTAGGTGCTATTATTATCCCCATATACAGTTGAGGAAACCGAGGTACAGAGAAGTTAAATGACTTGTCCAGGTCACACAGCTAGTGTTTGAGGTCATATTTGAACCTAGGTATTCTTGACCTCCAGGTATAGAGATCTGGCTGCCTCAAAAAGGACACATTTCGTTTTTCTCATGTAGAAATTGTAAGCTCTTGAGAGTTATGGATGATGTCTCCTATTACATTTGATAGCATTGATTGTTGCCCAGTATAGTGTTTCTTATTAAATTAATTTATATCAAATGCAAGTGTATATGTGTGACTATATATGTGAATATATGTGAATGTTTGTCAAAATATATATGTATGCAAACTTCTCTTGTGTTACAGGTCCGAGTTCTGTTTTCAAAAGGTCCATTCATTGCTATTTTTGCAAGTGACCCACACATTATCATAAAGGCAATTAACCAGAACCTCAACAGTGTACTTCGTGATTCAAATATAAATGGTCATGACTACATGCGCAATATAGTTCATTTGCCTGTTTTCCTTAATAGTCGTGGATTAAGCAGTGCAAGAAAATTTCTCGTAACTGCCACTTCAAATGGAGAAGTTGTGTGTTCTGATAGCACAGGTAAAAACCAAGCCTCTAAAATATTAAAGTTCTTAGAACAGCTCAAAATTCTATTTGCTTTTGAAAAGAATACTTTTAACTTAAAAATACTTTGGAGAGTTGTGACTGCTTACTTAAAGTAACAATAACACAGAAACATTTTAGTGTGTATTGTTTGTCTTTGTAAATTATTTTAAGGATTACATGAAGATACTGACAGAAGAGTTTCACAGAACAGCCTTGGGGAAATGACCAAACTTGGTAGCAAGACAGCCCTCAACAGGCGGGTAAGATGCTTGTTTTCAGTCAGACTTCTGTGTTGAAGCAAAGGTAAAATGTGTTATTAAAATCTTTTATAGCTATTGAATTATTACTTTTCAAATGAAATTTATCTTTGAATTTGCTTGCAGCAGCTTCGTTTTGGCTTTCAGGGACTGTCTGAGCATAGAGCCATACTAATTCAATGCTGCTGTATACTTAGATGTGCCCCATCTTGCTCCTTCCATCCTTTTGCCCTCTTCTTTTGCTGCTAGGGAAGAACTTACACTGCAGATACATAATGGTGGCCATATCTACCTTCGTTCACCTTAAATAAAGCTGAGCAATTTATTGTCTTTTCACACTGTTTTGAGAAGACAAAAGACATAAGGTAGTAAGGAGTTGGGAGTCAAAGGGAATTTCAAGATCAAGGTAGGTGTAATTGGAACATTTCAGGATCACATTAATAGAATGTGGTTGCAGCAAGTGAAGCAATAGAACATTTCTCATAGTTCTTTAGGATGGAAATGTCTAGCTTACCTGTAGCACCTTGTAGTAATTTCAAGCTCTGAATAAGTACAACAAAACAAGGCCTAGGATTTTGATTGTACATACTGTTCTTCATTCCCCAAAGTCTCCTTTCAGTGTCTGCTTCAGATCAAAATAGTGTCATGAAACAGTTTACCTTATAGGTAAGTTCCAAGACTGTTGTTGCTTGTTCAGCATCAGAGAGTAAAATTTGGCATAGACAAAGTGAATAGGAAAGTTGTGTCATCATACCATTAAATTTGTAACTGATGCTGTGCTTATATTCTGTGTTCCCTCCCCCAAATCTGGTTTCAGGAAGACCTGAGTTCAAATCCAGCCTCAGACACTTACTAGCTGTGTGACCCTGGGCAAGTTATTTAACCTTTGTTTGCTTCTGTTTCCTTAATTGTAAAATAGGGATAATAATAGCACTGACCTCCCAGAATTGTTGTGAGGATCAAATAATATTTGTAAAAAAGAGTTTAGCACAGTGTCTGGAACATAGAAGGCACTATATAAATGCTTTATTCTTCCCCTCCTTCTCAAAACTGATTCTTGTTCTGAGTCTACCACTAACTTGCTCCTTGATGTTGGACAAATGTTACTACTGATGAGAAGCAGTGTAGGGTAGTGGAACGAGCTCAGATGTGGAGCCAGAGGGCCTAGGTTTGAATTCTGCCTCTTCTGCTTACTATCTATATAACTTGGGCCAAATCACTGAAGTTCTCTAGGCCTTAGTTTTACCATCTCTAAAATGGAAGGATTGGATAGATAATCTCTAACATTCCTCCCAGGTTTAAGTCTGATTCTTTGATCCTGTGACCCTATTGAGGTATGTATTTTGATTTTTAAAAATTACTAATATCTGGCCCTGAGAAAAAGTGCCTTGAGCAGTTAGGATAAGGCATACAAACTCCAAGTGAGTGGAATTAGCAATGATGTACCCTGTTTTAGGCAAAACCAAATAGTAAATGCACAATAAATATTAATTACATTTAAAGGGAAAATTTGAACTTCCAAACTCAGACAAACCAGGGAGTAATCATCATATCTTTAAAGAGTGAGCTTCTTCAGCAGTCGTAAGGCATGTCTCTTTACAAAATTAAGTATATCCATGTTGTATTAACATCATTCTGTAAATTGAGTCACACCTATATTTGAAAGTGTTTTTCACAAAGTCCTTTTGTTATTCAATAAAAACAAATACTTTCACTATACTGTATGTAATTTTTATAATCATTTTGATCATTTTCTTTTTTTTTTTGTTGAGAATTAGAATTTTTGTGGTAGTAAGATATTGATCAGAATATTTTCTTCTTTTGAGAGGCAGGCACCATAGCACAGTGGATAGAGAGCCAGCCTTGAAGCCAGGAAGGTACACATTCAAGTTTTGCCTCTGACACAGATTGTTTTATCCCTGGGCAAATCACAACCTCTTTCTGTTCAAGGCAACTCTGTAAGACTATAAGTTGCATAAAAGATATCAGCTTGGTATTTGCAGGAGTTTCCTCACCTGAATGAAAGTGGTATAAGAAATTTCTTATACCAGTGTAAGGACAGGTCCAGCCCTTCTCACTATTCCCTTTCACTGTTTTCTTTTTCAAGTTCCTGGATTCTCAGACTTGTCATATGAATGAATTCTCATTTGCATTATGTTGTTTTTAGGATACTTACCGAAGAAGACAGATGCAGCGGAGCATAACACGTCAGATGTCTTTTGATCTTACAAAACTATTAGTGACAGAGGACTGGTTCAGTGATATCAGTCCGCAGACTATGAGAAGACTACTTAATATTGTTTCTGTGACAGGTAAGTCTTTTACTCTTGTTCTCTTTACTATAGGAAATAATCTCTGACAGTCTCAAATGACATTTTCAGAAAGAAGTTAAAGTAACACAATGTAGTGTGCTTCCAAGATTTACATTGCTAAGAATGCAATAAACGCTATTTTTAAAACCGTTTTTCACTTCTTTAAAACCTCATTCCATAATACAACAAATACTTAATGAACTAGCAGGAAGCCACACACTTAAAATTCAGCTTATGTTTGGGATGTTAAAAAACATGTTGATAATCAAACATTTGAAAGCTTAAGTGGATCTATCATCTCATTGATAGCTGCATTCTCCCCAACCATGTAGATCAAAATCCGTTTGCGTGCTCATTCTGAATGGTTCTTTTTTGGTTCTTTATTCATTGTACCCCAGGGTTCACTACACATGCTATGGGCTTTCCTCAGTTTCCTTTAACATTGTACTTATACCAGCGCTATGGGCTTTCCTCAGTTTCCTTTAACATTGTACTTATACCAGCGCTATGGGCTTTCCTCAGTTTCCTTTAACATTGTACTTATACCAGGGGATCATAGGAACTGTCTAATGGTTTTTCAAATACTTAAGACTGCTGCAGTACAAGATGACCAAATGTTTCATGAAATAATGATTCTTGTTGTCTTTGGACACATTATAAAATAAACTGCTCCAAAGAATCAGTGATTTATTGTTTCCTTTAGTTGTAATATCCTTTTGCCTCTTGTTTTTAGATTTAATGTGATTGAGTTCCCCCAGGGTTTTATCCTCTCAGTGATCTGTTAGTGTTTCTCTCTCCCCCCTCATTGACCCCCAACATTTACCTTTTATCTATTGCGTGTGTACATAAAAATATTATCTCTCTGGATAGATTAAAATTTCTTTGAAGGAAGGGACTGTTTCTCTTTTTTCTTTGTATACCAAATGCTTAGCACAATGCATGTATGCAACATAGTAGCTGAATAAATGCTTGTTAGTTGATTGATTGGTCACTGGCCAAGGATTTCACATTTAGACTGTTAACATTTACGTTATTGTTCATAAATAGTTTTAAAAACCATGTGAATCTTACCTCCCTTTATTACCCTTTTGTATCACTTTGTGGTTATCCATGCAGGAGTGGAATGGAGCTGGATCGTGAGTTACTATGACCACTAAAGAGTTCCACACTAAGTGTGGTGTGGAATTCCCACCTATTCTGAGCCTTAGAAAATGTCTGTTAGAATTATCATACTCCACTTTCCAGCATTTTAGGACCCACTCTGTTCCCTTGTCGTAGATATCAAGAACACAGGATAATTTCCATTCCATGATGAGTTGTTAGAGTAGGACTTTCTAGAGGTTTTTCTTATGATAGGGGAAAAATCTAATTTTGAACTCAGATAAATTTTATATAAAGTTTTGTATTTATATAATTTACCATAATAATAATCACATTAGTGTTGGGATTTAATATTTATAGAACTAATTTTATAGTAATTATCTCATTCACTGAAAGAACAGAGTTTGAATTTTATAGACGATAATCGATCAGCACGGATTTATTAAGCACCTGTCATGCCCTGACCAGTGAGCTAGACCCTGAGGATGCAAGCAATAAAGGGAGACAGTTCTTGTGTCATGGAGCATTTATTTTACTCTAGGAAAGAGTGCATTGTGTTCACAGATAAATAAATACATACATATGAAATAAAAACAAGTGATTTTTTTTGGAGGAAAATGAGAGTGATTGGAACTAGCATAAAAGGCAATCAGGAAAGGCCTTTAGAAGTCAGTAGTATTGGACCTGAGCCTGGAAGGGAGCTGAATTCCCAAGCAGTGAAGGTAAAGAGGAGAACATTCCAGGATGAGGGGCAGTCTTATAAACATGAAGGTGAGATGGAGCTCTTTATATAGAGAACAGGAAGCAGGTCAGGTTTGTGGACAGTAATGTGTGATCAGCTTGGAAAGATAGTCTGGCTAGCTAGGTGTTGCAGTGTATAGAGGGCTGGGCCAGGAATCAGGAAGACCTGAGTTCAAACTTAGTAGCTTTGTGACTTGATTAAGTCACTTGACTTCTCAGCCTGTTTTCTTACCTGTAAAATGGGGATAATAGTAGCACCTGCCTCCCAGAATTGTTGTAAGGGATCAAATGAGTTAATATTTATAAAGCACTTAGCACAGTGCCTGGCATATAATAGGCACAATATAAATACTAGCTATTATAGTAATTATAAAAATAGTAATTATTATCTAAATTGTGAAGAATTTCAAATGCCAAATAAGGGAATTTATATTTTATTCTGGAGTCAATAGGGGGTTGTTAAAGTTTCTTGAGCAAGAGGAGTGATATGGTCAGACCAGCATTTTAGAAGTATCATAGGATCATAGATTTAGAGCTGAAAGGGACCTTAGGGGTCATCAAGTCTAACTCTCTCATTTTCAGCTCAAGAAATGGAATCTTATGCCAGGTAACATGCCTTGTCCAGGATCACACAACTAGTAAAGTACCAAAGACAGGATTTGAAAATAGATCTTCTTGACTTCAAGTCCATCTTGCTCTATACCATGTTATGTTGCCTCTTCCATTTGAGTAGCTCTGTGGAGGATGGATTAGGGAGGGGATAGATGCATGCCGGGGGTGCAATTAGGAACCAGTGGTGCAGGTGAGAGGTAATGAGGGCCTAAACTAGGGTGGTAGAAATGTGAATGGAAAGATGATGAGTGAGCAACATGTAAATTAGTGACACTTGATAGCTTATTATTTGTTCAGTAGTGAATGAGAATGGAGACTTGAGGATGATACTATTATAAGCCTAGTTCGCTGAAAAGATGGTGGTGCCTTGACATAAATAGAGAAGGTAAGAGAAAGGGTTTGTTTAGGGGAGAAAAATAGTACTGTTTTAGACATGTTCATTTTTAGATACATATGAGACATCCGGGTAGAAAATGTCTAGGAGACATTTAAAGCTAGGAGGTCATGGTGAGGGTGAAGAGCAGGATTTGGGCCTGCATGGCAGAGGCAGAGGTGGAATGATGTCAGGGAACTTCAGAGGTTGTGAACATGGAAGTAAAACATTTTGGGTGATAGCAAGATCAAGTGTGTGATAATCTCTGTGTGTAACTGAGGCCGGGTGGTGGAATAAGTTGTGAGAAATGAGTAGGATGAACTGGGACCTTAGGGGTTTGAGCGGATGTTGATATATATATATTTAAGTTTCCCAGTTTTATGAAGACAGGAGTTGAGGAGGAGAGACAGACTGGGTCAGCCACTGAACTCATTGAAGAAAGGAGAATGCCCTGGAGGTTATAGATAATAGTTATCAGAATTTTGATTGGGTTGATTAACCCTCAAAGTTAGAATAGTGGAGGTAGAAGGGGAGTCTGAAAGTGGCAGTGAGCGAGAGGAACAAGTGAAGGTACAGCAAGTGCCAGAAGGAGTGGCCCCAGAGACTGCGTAGCACCAGGAGGGAGCAAAGTCTTAGTGAGCCAGAAGATGAAACAAGTAGGAGAGAAAAAAGTTTCTGATAAAAGAAAGTTTATTGCCTACAGAACACATATTCACAAGAGCACAGTTGAAGGAATGGGTAGCTTTGAAGTGCAACGTTGGTGGGGGTTGGATTGAGGGGAATGAAAATAAGGAAGCAGCAGAGGGCGGTGGAGAACACAGTTCATATAAAGACGGTTGGGGGTTCAAGATCATTGGAATGGGGAGGGTATGACTGGGTTGGAGTTTGTTAAACATCATTGCTGAATGAGTTTGGGAAGCTATTAACTTCATTAAGGGTTTGGCATCTGGGTGATAGTGTTTCACTCTGCTCTATTGAGGAGACTAACTGGGGGAGTTGGTGGAATAGTGTTCCTCTCCTATAACTGTAGGCAGGTTAGGCCAGGGGATAAGTGGAGGGAATAGGAAGGAATAGTGTTTCTTTGTCAGCTCTGGAAAGGAAGGAACTCTCTGCAGGTAGGAAGGGTTCCCTGCAAATGGAAAGAGGCTAGCCTAGAGGACCTGCCCTGGGAGTTAGAGGCCAGGTCAGGAAACTTGCACAGGATGGAAGGAATCTCTCTGATCCCCTATGGAAGGAAGAGGCTATGTCAGGGGAAACTGGCTTGATGCACCTTCTCTTTTATTTCCACCCTCTCTCCTACACACACACACCCACCTTTAGATTACTCTTTTGTTCCCCACTGCTCCTCACAGATTCTCCCTTCTGCAAGGAACTTATTCTGTAACCTCTCCTTTGAATGTCATTCTGTCAAAATTTATCACCCAGTTTAGATCATAGTGGAAATATTCCCCCTGGCCTTAAGGTCATTCTTCTTACTTTTTCACCTTCTTTTGCTTTTTCCGCTACTGTTCCCCAGCCTATACCAGGGGACTTCAGCCTACATGTTGATAGTTCCCTAACCATCCTAAAATCTTATCAAATCCATGACCAACTCTTCAGCTCCACCTCAACTGCACATAGGTATGGTTACAATCTAGTTTCACCATCCCCTAACAAATATTTCACTTCCATGATCAAGAATTGTGGCATTCCTTTATCTTATCCTAACCCTTTTTTATTCCCGCTCTCCCTGTGCCTTTCCCCTCTTAAATATGTTCTTTATTCTCACAATGACTTCCAATCCCTCCACCCCTCAAGTACTTTCTCAAGCCCTTCCCTTTGCACTTTCCCTTTCCTCCGTACCTTTTAGTTACCTAGTTCAAACACTACAGTATCTTCTAAACTCAAATTCCCTCCCCCACTTATTAAATCACAACTCTGGATGGCTCCTACCAGCTGTCTCTTTTATTCCATCTTACATGTTTCTAAATGGAACTGCAGAAAATCATGCTGCTATGCCATCTTTGTCTATTACAGATTTAAGTTTTCTACTCTAGCTAACCCCTGACTTCATCTAGGTAGCCTTTTTATTTCTAGCTGATTCTCTGGGCAAGTCACTTAAATGCTTTCTGTCTCAATTTCCTCAAGTGTAAAATGGGTATAAGTAGCACCTACCTCCCAAGGTTGTTGTGAGGATCAAATAAGATAATTTTTGTAAAGTGCTTTGCATAGTGCTTGACACATAGGTACTTAATAAGTATTTACTGAGTGATAGAAAAAATATACTGATTTCCCCCTGGCCCATTGTATAGAAAGGCAGACAGAGTATCCAGTACTGGAGAGGATGGTAAGAGATGAAGTGTCATTTGGTTTCTATGTCTGAAAAGAGTTGGAGAAGAACAGTTTTATTTAAGAAACAGTTTGTTAATTGTAGTGTAGAAATTCCTTAGGGCTTAGGTTAGGGGGTACTAGGGAAATGGGAGGAGTTTGGCCAAGAGAAAAAGGATTGAAATTATCAGAATATAGTGTTGGGGAAATGAGAGTTCACCCAGGCCTTCTTCGATTTTGTATCATAGAGATGCAGAAATGAGGAAGAGAGTTTGAAAGCAATAGTATGATAGGGTTTTTTTAGGTGTATGCAGCAGTTTCATTTGGGTGTACACTTAGCAAATTTTATTTTTAAAGGTGAATATTGCTTTACATATAATTTTAAAGGATATCTTATTCATCAAACTGTAAAACTTATCATTTAAGAAAAATTAAGAATTAAACTTTTAAAATGAGACAGTCTGGGTTTTTTTTGGGGGGGGCATTTGGTTATACCTGGGTATAAACTATTGAGTCAGTTTTATAGTGTAAATAACACGCAAATAAATACTGTATCAGATTTATGAACCCACAATTTTTTTCCTAGTTCTTTTCATGTCTAAGTGCCAGAGCAGTAATATACTTAAATCCTTTAAGTTCTCTGCATAATATCTATGAATTGCATTATCACTGTTGTGGTTTTGTTTAAATGTTTTCGAGATCTTACCTGTTTTTTTTTTAGTCTAGGACTAAAATCTTTTATTCGTGAGTCCCTGGCTCTAAAACACCTTAGAGATTTATGTAATCTAAATGATTTTATTAGCCAGCATAACCTATTTTCATAAAGTCAGTTTATACTTTAATATATGAGTCATATCTAAAGTAGGTAGTATTAGGATTCCTGAAATGTACAGCAAGACACACATAATCTTAGGATAGCTTAAGATATTATAGTTCTGGAATGAACATTAAAAAAAAAACTTTTCAGGTAGGTTTATGAGATCTTGGTTTTCATTGTGTGTATGTATAAAATACAAAAAAAATCATTATCCTAATAGCTATGATCAACTTACATTATAGTCAAATAATTACTTAAAGAACTAGAAAATTCCCCACAGCTCAGATGATCACAAAAGATAAAATCAGTGTTTGACATACTTGGTGTTTCACTTTGTTTAGAGCAAAGTTAAATTATGTAATTTGTCTCCTGGACAGTCTGCTAATTTTTTTTTGCTTGTACTTATGTTAATTTACAAAAATTATGTTTTCTTACTCTATAGGACGATTATTGAGAGCCAATCAAATTAATTTCAATTGGGATAGGCTTGCTAGCTGGATCAACATTACAGAACAATGGCCCTACCGAACTTCATGGCTCATACTGTATTTGGAGGAAACTGAAGGCGTTCCAGATCAAATGACATTAAAAACCATCTATGAAAGGTACTACAATTGTTCTTTTTTTATGTCTTTAAGTTGAGTTGAATTTGTAGTTTCTTTATGTGCTAAAAGTGTTACAGGAGAGTATGCAAAGTGGATATTTGTATATTGAACCAAATTTTTCTTTTGATATTTACTGTAATTTCAGAGTTGTATTCCCATATATTCTTTGGTGCCAGTATGTAATAGATTCAACATGCAGGAATATTTTGCCTTTATCAGTATAGCACATGTACAAGAAATTTCCCAAATTAATACTTAGTATACATATTCTTGTAGATGGACATACAAACACGTGAACACACACCAAACTATATAATAAAATTCCCTTTTCATTGAGTGTTTTTATTTACTGTAGGGAATAATGAAAACAGTCATACCACCCAAACTGCTACTCTGGTTATTTAGGAAAATGTCATGCTTGGAAGACCTATGTGGAAGTGCTTTCTCAGGTAGCTTAGAAAATACTAATTATCCCTGATTATCGTTAAACTATATAAGTATTGGTATCCCATTAAATTAAGTGGTATGTTAATTGATAAACCTTAAACATACATGGATCCTAATAAGTTAAAGAAGTTCATCTAATTTCTTCACCTAATAAGAAGTATTGACTGACTGTAGTCCTGGCTCTGACTCAAAATAAAAGATTCATCTGATCTTGTGATTGCCATATTTGGTCAGATTTACAAATTGGACCTTAAGTGAGTGTAGTTAAAATGACGTTTCTCTGTAGTTACTCAGCAAGCACTCCTTGTATTCTGTGGTATCTCAGAAATGTTTGTAAGATGAAAAATTACCAAGTGAAAAACTCATCCACAGCCACTACCTTCTTTATCCAGTTATTTGTCTTCTTAATTTTACTCTCTCAAGATGCCTGTCCTCTTCTTACCATTTACAGAGCTACTATTCTGGTTTAGTCCCTCATAATCTCTCTCCTGAAGTGCTACAGTCACCTCCTAATTGGATCCCTACTTACAATCTGTGTCCTCTCCATTTATCTTCCAGTAGGCTGCCAAAATAATTTTCATAAAATGTACATCTTATCACATGAATACCCTTCTTAAGAAACTTTTCTGGCATATTTTTTCTATGATAAAGTATAAACTTCCTTTCTTGGCTTTTAAAGTTTTTCACAATTTAACTCCAACTCTCTTCTAGACTTATTTCACATTACTTTCCTTATACCTATTACCTTCTAGCCATACTGACTTGTTCCTCTTTTACCAAACTCAGAATTTTGTCTCCCACCTGTGTGACTTTGCATAGGATTTCCCCAGTGCCTGGAAATGCTTTTCATTCTTGTCTCTGCTTCTGATGAACTTCATTCAAGGTTCAGCTCATCTGGCACCTCTTATAGGAAACCTTTCCAAGTTCCTTGCTTTTTGTGCTCTTTTCCTCCTTAGATCATAATATATGTTTTTTGTCAGTTCAAATTCTTTATCATCCCAGTAGAATATAAGTTCCTTGAAGAGAGGGACTGTTTTTCATAGTTAAAGAATATGCTAGTAGCACAGTGCCCTGCAGATAGTAAGCACTTAAATGTTTCTTGGTTTGAACGGTGGTGATATTGCTAGAAATACTCATGGACATAGTCTTGCCATCATGGAGAAAAAATTATGCCTTTTACCAGACCAGAAGTTTAGAACTTAGAAATAATTAATATGTGGCCATGAAAATTTAATTCTTCTATGAGTTAAGAGTATGGACATTAGCTTTATAGGTTTTCTTTCATTATTAGAGGTCAGCTTCTCATTCTTTCAGTTTCATTTCAAAAGTCTGTTAGCTGTAGGTGGCCTACAAGGTTCTATCCTGGGCCCTCTTTTCTTCTTCCTCTATACTATTTCCCTTGGGGATCCCTCAAGACCCAGAGATTTAATTACCATATATATCCTGATGATTCATCAGTCTACCTTTCCCACTCCAGTCTCTCTGCTGACCTCCAGTATCACATCTCTAGCTGCCTTTCAGATATCTTGAACCGATAGTAGATATCTTAAACTCAGCGTGTTGAGAACAGAACTCATTATCTTTCTCCCTAAACCATCTTCCCTCCCCACCTTCCCTATTACCGTAGAGGGCAATACCATCCTTCCAGTCCCATAAGCTTGAATTCTAAGAGTCATCCTAGATTCCCCACTCTCTCCTTTCACCATATCTAAGCTGTTGCCAAGGCTTTTTGGTTTCACTTTTGCGACAGTTCTTGAGTATGCCCCGTTCATACCTTTGACACTGTTACCACAGTGGTCTTATACTTGGACTATTGTAATAACCTGCTATGGTTCTGCCTTCCTCAAGTCTCTCCCCATAACAATTCATCCTCTTTTCAGTCACTAAAGTGATTTTCCTAAAACGCAGTTCTGCCTGTTATCCCCTTACTCAGTGAATTTAATTGGCTTCCTCTCACCTCCAAGAACAAATTCAAAATGCTTCGTTTGACATTCAAAGCCCTTTATAACCTAACCACGCCCTATCTTTCTAGTCATCTTAAACTACTCCAGCAACCTGTAATCTTTGATCTAGTGATTGTGGGCATTTCTTAGCTTTGGGCATTTTCTCTAGCTGCTCCCCATACCTGGAATGCTCTCTCTCCTCATTTCTGCCCTCTGGCTTCCCTGGCTTCTTTTAAGTCGCAACAAATATTCAGATCTTCTATAGGAGGCCTTTACCAACCTGTCTTAATTCTAGTGCATTTGCTTTCAGTCATTTCCTGTTCATCCTATATATCACTTGTTTTTATATATTTGTTTGCTTGTTGTCTCCCTGACTAGATGGTAAACTCCTCAAGGGCGGAAACTATCCTTTGCCTCTTTTTGAATCCCCAGCACTTAGCACAGAACCTGGGATTTAGTAAACACTTAATGTTTATTAATTGTTTGACTGATTATTTACCATGCCATGCTTTTGCTGTTATTTAATTATTGAAGTTTTTTTTTTAGCATTGATCATTATGTTAAATTCATACTTTGTACATAATAGGCAGTTAGTTGTTGAATTAATGAATTGTTCAGAATTGAAGCTATTAATTTGGTGTGAAGTATAAGTTTTCTTTAATTACCAATATATTAAGGGTGGTATAAAATATTTGGGTAGTATTTTATTTCAGTCACTCTTAATGTATAAACTTTAAATCCATGTTCACACCTTTTAGCTAAATGTTTTCTTTCCATTTATGTATTATAAAATTTAAATATGTATTCACATTAATCACCGCCCAAAAAATAATCTGATTGAGCTAATAAAGTTACTCGAATGGGTATGTGATCACATCAAGTTGGATGTTCCCTCCAATTATGCAAATTGTAGATCATAACCCATCCATACCTGCCCATCTTTTGTGACTTTTGTCTGTGGTCTCCCATAATTTCACCACAACCTTTGGTTGACCCAAAGGTCTGGAAGCCTTTCCTGATTTCTCCTTACATCACAAGGATACCAGTGGAGTACTCTGTCTGGGCTGGGCCCTTGTCATTGCTACCCTTTACCACATGACCGTTTCCTCTTTCTTAGCATTTTCCTGATGACTTCTTTTACTCTTTTCTCTTTCAAAGTACTTCATTGGTTATATGTTGTAGCTTCCACAAACCTACCATATACCTCTCCATTGCTCTCTATGTCATCATTTTCAGTTCATGGGAGACTGTACCATGTATCACAGCCGTAAGTCAACTCTGGCACAGTATTGGTATTAAAAAGATGAACTTTTGTTTCTGGGAGATGGTGGAATCTTTAAAGGAGCTTTTCAATTTCTTGAAGACACTCCATCCTGCTCTCTTCCTCCTTTTTAATTCTAGGCCTACATCATCCATTTGTACTATCTATCTGTAATATAGATAACCACTAACCATCTCTTTAGGTTATCTATCCAAAAATATGTTATAATTTTAGCGGAGGATGTTCTTCATCCACTTAGCTTTTTCTTTCTGAATGAGGAGGCTAAACTTTTTTCAGTGGTTACGTATTTATTTTAGCAACCATTGTCATCAGTTCAAAGTTTAATTCTCCCATCATAGTGTCATCTACAAACAAGAACATCTGAAGCACTTTGCCATTCAGAGTCCTTCAATTGGAATCTGCGCTAGATCCCCTCTATTACAGTGGCAAAAACCTTTGAACATAAGGCGAAACCCCTTTTTGTGTCTTGCCTGATATTTATTCTTAGAGAATCACTGAACAGCATTATTTCTTTTTTAATATCATTCAAACAATCTTGAATGATTTTGCACAGTGGATGGGAGGCTCATTGGTTAGAAAAGAGCCTTCAAGGTGGTGTTTGTTATACACTACCAACTAAGGTGTTTTTCCATTATCAACAAACATTAAGCACAGTGGGATCTTATGTGCTTTACTTTCAGTTAATTTGGAGGTGATGAAGATGTGTTTGATTGTAATATCATTTGATTTTTTTTTAATATTTTGTTTCCCCAATTACATGTAAAAACAATTTTCAACATTTTTCAAGTTTTGAGTTCCAAATTTTTTCCCTCTCTCCTTTCCTTTCCCCTCCCTGTGAGAGTAAGCAGTCTGATATAGGTTATACACATGCAATCATGTAAAACACTTCCATATTTGTCATTTGATATAAGAAGACTGAAAGGAAGGAAGGAAGAAAGAAAGAAAGAGTATACTTCAATCTGTATTCAGACAACATCAGTTCTCTCTGTGAAGATGGATAGCATTTTTCATCATAAATCCTTTGGGGTTGTCTTACATTATTGTATTGCTGAGAATAGCTAAGTCATTTATAGTTGATCATTATACAATATTGCTGTTACTGTGTACAACATTTTCCTGGTTCTGCTCACTTCACTTTGTATCAGTTCATATAAGTCTTTCCAGGTTTTTCTTAAATCATCCTGCTTGTCATTTCTTATAGCACAATAATATTCCATTACAATCATATACCACAACTTGTTCAGCCATTCCCCAATTGATGGGCATTCCCTTGATTTCCAATTCTTAGCCACCACAAAAAGAGCTGGTACAAATATTTTTGTACAAGT